TTAATGACTTATTGTGCTCAGACAGCCAAGGGTTTGTCGTCAAACTGAATGGGAAGAAGAGCCCAAGATCAGAAACTCTAGTCCACAAATTGCTTAATCAACGCACAAACTAAACCATAAAAAACACTTACGTTCTATTGTGGTACGTATTTTGTGATATCATATAAAAGATTGGCTTAATGAAAAAGAACATGCATTGGGGAGATTTTGTGCTGTTATTTAACTCCAGTCTCGTTAATGTTACGAAAGAAGAAGCTGATGACAACACAAATACTTTTTGAGTTTTTTCAGACTCCAAACCCGTTATATATTTCAAGGAGAAGAGTATAGTTTAAACTCAACGAATAATCATTTCAATAACATAAACAATAATCAAATCATTAAAAAGAGCTTCAATTTAAATCCAGTAATATCAAGTGAAATACAGCTTCAACCAAGTGGTTCTCCCTGTAAAACAAGGTCTTGGATCCACCGTATCTCAAACAATTGGATTATTTCATCATCAGCAGACTAAAGTAATTAAAGAAGGATCATTGGATCAGTTGAAAATTTTGATAAGGAGTAGTTTGACAATTGCTGAATAGTTTGGTACAGAATGATTAAGAGCCTCTCATGATATAATACAAAATGAAATAACTTTTTGGTAATTGTGTACAATAAAATTGAAGCTCTTAATGAGTAAAGAATATTAAAGATACAAAATCATTCAAAAAGTTTTAGAACCATTAGAGAATTTTTTTCCAATGAATTGATTAAGGAAAAAAGCTTTAGGTGTGGTGAGGCAGAACATATAAATTAAGACCTATTAAAGAAGGTACAAAAAAAGGCTGAACTGCAAACTTGACAACAATACATCAAACCCTAATTAAAACCCTAAAAAGCAAACAAAATCTTGACTTGAAAACAACCCTCGATCAAGATTTTGTGGAAAGATGCATCAGTGAGATTATGATCTTTAAATCATCAAAATCAGAAATTTAAAAATGCTTTTCTCATACACAGCATTGTCAAACTGTGTCAGAAGGTGTCCTAAGATTTTTCTGATTTCATCATCTTTGATGATTTCAATTCTCAACCCCACACGATGCACACATACGTAAATCAACATATAAGAACAAAAGAGAATTGGAAACGAACAGAAAGTTTATGAATCTGAAAGAACGTAGCAAGGAGATATACGGATCATATGATATTGAATCGTCTCCGCTCCATTTTCATCATCTCATACTTCGAATATTGTTAAGATCTAGTAACAATGGAGTTTGGATTCAGACTGACGTGCAAATGGAATTTCGTTCAGTAAAGCAAAAAATATCGTTCAGTTTTAAATACATGTTTTAATGCTTAATAGAAAACATATATGGAGGAGTTACTAGGAAACACCCTTAATTGAAAACAAGAACGGGTTTCTCAACGAAACTTCCATTTTTGGTTTAATTTGGGCCTCCTGTGAATCAGAATAAGCACTCTATAACTTAGCTTATCTGGGATGATGAAGGCACAAACCCAACAACTAAAGTCAGAATCAAAAACTAAAATGTTCGATTAATTTAAACAAAGATTATAAAAGCAGCACTCATGCAATTGCTTTGAAACTGAAATTTTGGTTAAATTTTTGGGAATGTATGAGGTGTTTCCACGATAGTACATCCAAAATAGTTCTCAAAGACATGGTCCGAAGCCAATCCAAAATAATCACAAGAAAAACAAAAACGATTTGCTTTATCCATCATCAAACAGGAGCTACGGCAAGAAGAACACCTTTCAGAAAAATATATACATCACAAGAATTGTGAATGCATTAATGTGATGTACCAAAAAATTCACGGTTCCTATCATAATAGGCAACAAAGCTACATTGCCACCCACTGCTACTAATTCACCGCCCCACCCCACCCCACCCTGCCCCGCCCAAGTTAAACTGCTAGTAACAAAATTACCTTGCCTGTGGTTCATTACAAGCTCCGGCTTAACGACATCTGATTTTTATCCGCTGCTCCATCTGGCGTTCTGATCGCACAAAACATCATGCAAACCCACTGACTCGCCTATACATGAAGGCATTTCTATTCCATCATGGTTGATCTCGTTCAGTTCTCATCTTTCCATGCCCATAGATAGAGAAGGCATGAAGAAAATACCATATGCAAAGGTTAGTAGGATGTTTAACATATTAATAGATAAATAGGCATCTAACCTAACCACCTCTCCCTTTGTTTATAAAATAGGCATCATAATATATAGTCACCTCGACTTTACTTGGAAGCTCTGATATGCCACTCTTCAATATATTACATGCTCCCCTCAGTGCACCAGTACGTGACCAGCATCTTACAAAATAGAAGGCTTTGAACTAAAAAGATGGTCTAAAAAGGAATAAAATGACATGGAGTTTGGAATCAGACTGACGTGCAAATAGAATTTCGTTCAGCACAGCACATAATATATGCCTATGATAACATAATTCGATATCTTTTAGCATCATTTTCCAAACTTCCACAAAATAAAATCATTACAAAAAAAGATTCGGAAATGAAATTAAACAGTAAAAATTACGACACTCATTTAGATATATATGGATGAGTTAAATGGGTTTCTCAGCGAAACTTCCATTTGAGTTTAATTTTGGTTTCCCATGAATCAGAATAAGCACTCTTTATTAGCTTAATTGGGACTATGAAGGCACATACCCAGTTCTAACATGCATTTTAACGAAATCTAAGAGCCTCAGTGTGTGTAACAAACAGATCATTGATTCAAATATATTAAATCTCACTGAAATCCGCTAAGATAATTTAAATTATCATCATAAGCTCCTAATAAACTAGAAACAAATCAAAAAGATAGAATCAAAAAACCTTATGAAAATTTAATGATTCAATGTGCTCAGACAGCCAAGGGTTTGTCGTCAAACTGAATGGGAAGAAGAGCCCAAGATCAGAAACTCTAGTCCACAAATAGCTTCATCAACACACATTATGTTCTATTCGTATCGTCCATCACAAACACAAAAAACAGTACTCAAGGAGATAAACATAGCAAGAAAGAAAACAAAAAACATGTAATATGTACTTTGTGACATCTTATAAGACATCAGCTTAAGGAAAAAGAACATGCAATTGGGGATATTTTGTGCTGTTATTTAACTCCAGTCTCGTTAATATTACGAAAGAAGAAGCTGATGACAACACAATACTTTTCGAGTTTTTTCAGACTCCAAACCATTATATATTTCAAGGTGAAGAGTATAGTTTAAACTCAACGAATTATCATTTCAATAATCAAATCATTAAAAAAAAGCTTCAAATTAAATCCAGTAATATCAAGTGAAGTACAGCTTCAACCAAGTGGTTCTCCCTGTAAAACAAGGTCTCAGATCCACCGTATCTCAAACAATTGGATTAGTTCATCATCAGCAGAGTAAAGTAATTAAAGAAGGATCATTGGCTCAGTTGAAAATATTGATATGGAGTTGTTTGACAAATTACTTAATAGTTCGATGCAAGAAGATTAAGAAGCTCTCGTGATATAATACAAAATAAAATATAATTGTGGTAATTATGTACAATAAAATTAGGGCTCATGATAATTAAGTGAGATTAAAAATGCAAAATCATTCAAAAGGCTTTAAAAATATTAAGAGTCAAACTTTTCTTTTGTCAAACAAGATTCACATGTTAATGATTTAAAAGTTGTCTCTTAATGAAACTATTAAGAGGTAAACAAACAACCCATAAGTGCTCAGAGTAAATAACAGCTCTATCAGTCATGAATTTTCAGAAGCAGAACTGGCTTAAAGCTGTATTTTCAATCATCACTGCAAAGACATTTCAAAAACAGTAACAAAATACAAGAACTTTATACAGATCGGCTCATATTAAGAAATTCAACCATTTTATATCCATTACTTCACTGATTCCTCTCAGAAGCGCGGATAAATCAATCAAGTCATTGCCGAATAATATCGATTTTATAAACACAAAAAGAAAATATAGCGGATGTTTTTAGAGGAAAAACATGAGAAAAAGCTTAGACTCCACGTTAACACCGCCTTAACTATCTGCCTCCATGACTAGACCTCTTTCCAATGAATTGATTAAGGAAAAAAGCTTAAGGTGTGGTGAGGCAGATCATATAAATTAAGACATATTAAAGAAGGTACAAAAAAGGGCTGAACTGCAAACTTGACAAGTATGTATCTAATGGGATAATTCTGAAAATTAAAACCCTAAAAAGCAAAGAAAAATCTTGACTTGAAAACAACCCACGATCAAGATTTTGTAGAAAGATGCATCAGTGAGGCTATGATCTTTAAATCATCAAAATCAGAATTTAAAAATGCTTTTCTCATACACAGCATTGTCAAACTGTGTCAGAAGGTGTCCTAAGATTTTTCTGATTTCATCATCTTTGATGATTTCAATTCTTAACTCCACACGATGCACACATACGTATATCAATATATAAGAACAAAAGAGATTTTGAAAGGAACCAAAGATTTATGAATCAGAAAGAACGTAGCAAGGAGATATACGGATCATATGATATTGAATCGTCTCCGCTCCATTTTCGTCATCTCATACTTCGAATTTCGTTAAGATCTACTAATAATGAAGTTTTTAAATACATGTTTTTAAAGCTTAATAGAAAACATATATGGAGGAGTTACTAGGAAACACCCTTAATTGAAAACAAGAATGGGTTTCTCAGCGAAACTTCCATTTTCGGTTTAATTTGGGCCTCCCATGAATCAGAATAAGCACTCTATAACTTAGCTTATCTGGGATTATGAAGGCACAAACCCAACTAAAGTCGGAATCAAAAACTAAAATGTAAGATTCATTTAAACAAAGATTATAAAAGCAGCAATCAATGCAATTGTTTTGAAACTGAAATTTTGGTTAAATTTTTGGGAATGTATGAGGTGTTTCCACGATGAAATGGCATTGAAGAATCCATTTATCAGGATGGCCACAGATACTGATTTGGCGTCCGAGCCATTACACCGTGAGGAACTGTATAAATCCTCCAGAATTGGTATATGGACGCCTTCAAACAAAAATTCAATCTATAAATTCAACAAATTGAAATCAAAGTTTACAAAAAACAAAGTTTTAGATTTAAAATGGTAATGAAAACATCAAAAACAGACAAGGAAATGGAATGAACAGAAGTGCTCAGTGGAAGGAGAAGTCGTTTTAAATTGGGATCACGGCAAGACAAAACAAATCGTCTTGTCCACTGCCCTAATTACACCCCTAAAGTGCTTAGCCTCATCACTGCAATTCAACATTCCACAAACAAATTGGATAAAAAACCAAAGATGATATGCATCGTTATCGAAATCTAGGAGCCTCAGTGTGTGTAACAAACAGATCATTGATTCAATTATATTAAATCTCACTGAAATCCGCTAAGATAATTTAAATTATCATCATAAGCTCTGAATGAATTTGTAACTAATCGAGTAAAATTGGTTGCAAAGAGATAGAATCAAAAAAATTGATAGGAAAATTTGTTAATTCATTGTACTCAGACAGCCAAGGGTTTGTCGTCAAACTGAATGGGAAGAAGAGCCCAAGATCAGAAACTCTAGTCCACAAATTGCTTCATCAACGCACAAAATATGAATTTAAAAAGAGTGAATAATGAATTTGGTCTTTTTGGTACCTAGTTGATACCTTGAAGATCGCTGTAAAAATGGTACGAGATGTGAACAGCAGAATCTTAGTTGGAAAAAGATACAGATCTTCCCAACTAAGAGAACCAATTAACATCTAGCAATATAGCTAATGTTTCATCGATTGAAGTAAATGCAGCTCTCAACCACATGAACAACACCCGTATTTCAATGAAATAGAGCCTGGGTAGAAATCCAGATCCGAATGAAAGATAACAACCTTGATTGAAGCAAGGTACGGATCTGTCAATCAATACACCAGATATAAAAGAGAAATGAGGAGGATAATACCAGAGGCATAACCAACGGCGGTCAAAACTCCGGAGAGACAAGCAGCCACCACAAGTACTCAAAACTAAACCCTAAACCGGAGAGACAGGCGGCCATCACACAAGTACTCAAAACTAAACCCTAATTTGATCTATACTCTCACGACGAAGCCTGGTATATATACAACATAAAGTTACACTCTAGTCCTTCAGTAAATGCAGTGCAGCCCTTCACCTTTTCCTTTTTTATAGATTCAACCCTCAACAATAACAAACCTGCAATCTCAAACTTAAAGCCACAACTGTGTTTGATACATAGGACGGGACGGGACAAAACCCATTATCCCATATTTGGCGCAACATGGGGAGGACAATAACTCGTTGTCTCATGTTTGGTGTGACATGGGACAGAGAATCCGTCGCTGTCTCTGTTATGCTACCGGAGGCTCTGGGTCCTTTTTTACATTATTTCTTAAGTCTCATAAGTTTGATCCTTTAGAATTGGACTTATAATATGATCAATTATACAGGTGCATTACTGGTCTCTTTTCTAATATATAAAAATGATGACGCTAGCAGTGGTGATGTAGGTCATGTACGTAATAAATTAGTGCTCTGTTTGTTTTTGAGAAAAACAATGGTAGAAATATAATTTAATTCCACCACACTGCAATGGAATGAGGAATATCAGTAACAATAAAAAGACTGAAACTCAACTTTAGTTAATTTTACAAAAAGAGTAATATAAATCAAAAAATAGAATCAGTTATTCTAATTCCTTTACAATCATCTATACTACCTTATAAAGCAAATTCACAACAAGTTTTTAAAAACAAGTTTAAATACATGAAGTATTACTTATTAATGCATAAAGTTTTAAATCTTTTAATTATAACTTTAACAGCTTGATGTACAACCCTATTAACGCATAAAGTCTTTCACATATGTTGTAGTATATTTTTTTTATTAAAAAAGAGAACAGATGTAACAACTCGTCCCACATGTATAAAATGTGAGAATTGTTAGCTACTTATAAATCTCAAGTAATGGACTACCAATAATTTTCACCATGGTTTTAAGTTGGATTCGAAGTTATTGGGTCAGTCCGCTGCTTTATGCTTTGGGGACGTTACAACATAAATCAAAAATATAAAAACAAAAGTGAGATGGAAATGAACCAAAGATTGTGAATCAAAAAGAACGTAGCAAGGAGATATACAGATCATTTTGATATTGAACCATCTCCGCTCCATTTTCATCACCTCATACTTCAAAATCGAAGTCATAAAACATAGTTGTTCTGGTCATCAATACCAGTATATTGGTCAACAGGTATAATAAGAAGTTTTTAGGAAACACGAACCACACCTTTCTTCTTTGAAAAAAAACTCACTTACGGTCTACAAATTTAGGGTTTTTAAAGGTGTGGTTCGAGTTACATTTTTCTTATTTAATAGGTCGATCGTATTTTTATGTTTTCGATAAGGTTAGGGTTGACCAATAAGCACTGAGCCATGCCAATTACTTTTTATTAACAAACTAAAACTTACAAAAAACAAAATTTGCAAAATTTCGTGCAAAAAATGGAGGTTAAAATCAGACTGACGTGTAGATTTCGTTTAGCAAAGCATAAAATATCATGCATAAGAAATGACATCATTCCATGTCGTTTATCTCTATCTTCAATTCCTTTTTCTCTGTCTTTCTCTAACCTCTATGGTCATAATCAGTATTCAAGAAATCACAGTGACAAACAAATGGAGTAGTTTGTCCATGGATGTCGTTTCTTCCTCTTCTCCTGTGTAATTATCCAACATTGTCATATCTTCAATAGCGGTATAACATGAGGAATATCTAAACGACTACCGTTTCTTCTTCTTGATTGCAATTCTCCAACCTTACCATATATTCAACGGTGTTATGTTTTTCTTCATTAATGGTGGTCAGAAACCTTGGTGGCTCTTGAAGATTATTCACCCGTGAATAACAAGGCCGATGTTAGAGTTTCATGCTGATGGAGATGCTAAAATTGGATTCAATTATTCATTTTTGAAAATTTGTGTTGCTGGGGTTTATGCACACGTGAATACAAGGAGGATGTGGTTGGTATTGACAAGGTGAGGGAGGAGTTTTATATCTATAATAATACATGTATGATACGGCGATAATAATAACAGATGTTTATGTAATATGCTTTGTTTTTTAAGAAATATGAAAGACGACCAAAATATTCATAACTTAACGGAGTTAATTCTAAAAAGAAAAATAGTAACAAATTATAAACCATAGAAATGAAAATCGTAATTGTTAATACATACAGATGAACGTGACAATTTTTAACAAACAAGGACTAGAAACCCTAGTGGTGTACTCTTTTTACTTATTATTCCAGTTTAAGTTGAGGTGTATTTAAATGTTTTATACATTTTAAACTTGTTTTAATTGAAAAAAATATATGTTATTACTATGTATATACAGAGAAGGGTTACTTTGCAAACCATGTTATTTATACAAACCGTACAAACCTCATTCAACCAATCGTAATTTTTCATTTTGTTCATTTTTTTGTAATATGAGAGGTTGATTAATCATTTTTATTATGGATGGTGTTAATCATGGATATTACAATATTCATTATTTTAATTTTAGAAAAATACACGAAATAGTTTCATTAAATTTTCATTAAGTATTATATGAAACAACTTCATTAAAAAAAGTATTATATGAAACAATTTCATGAAAAAATTTCATAAGATTAAATAATAAAATCGACGGATGAGGGTGGTTTGCACGGTTTATACAAATTAGGTGGTTTGCATTTGATCGCTCCTCTATATATATACACACACATTTGTATATTTATGAATTATGATTAACTAGAAGGATACTTGTGTAATACAACGAAATACATATTGATATTTATATCAAAATAATTATTTAAAAGTTTTTATTTCTTTAATTTAATTTTTATTATAATTCAATTTAAGTCTAGTAACGAATTAATTTATTTTTTACCAAGGTTAAAATTTATTTTTTTACAAAACTTGCCTTCGCTCCCCAGTAGAATTTTCCACATGACCCAGTCTATAAATTTTTTGGATCCACCACTGCTTGCAATTAATCATATATGGTCACAAAGGGGATTAATCGATGCATGTAAACCAGTCTAGATATTCATATATCAAAATTATCAATACTGGTATTTCGTTATTTTAAATATTTTTAACTTAAATTTGTTAATCAGCAACAATCTAACGTAAAATACTCATATAATAAGCAAGAAAACTCAACATATCAAAATAAATGATGATATAGCAAGCAAAGTATGTCATATCAAAAAATATTTATTGATAAAACAAAATTCAAATAAATAATGAAATAATAAACAATTGCTTTGATCCATTTATGTTTAGTATTTTATTATATTTATTTGAATTTTATTTTATCAATAAATATTTTTAAATATTTGATAATAACTTTTTTTTTATTTTGCAAATCTTGTACTCAACAAGCCTTTTTTTTCTTCTTTTAGGGGTGTTTAGGATTGCTTATTTAAAACAACTTATATTTTTTGTAGAAGTGTTCATTAACTTATGTGATGTTAAATCGGAGTTTTATAAAAAAGTGTTTGAATTAGCTTATGGCGATATCAAAACACAATAAACTGATAAGTTGTTTTTCAATGTTTCACAAAATTTGTTTATACATGTAAAATGACAAAAAAGATATTCATAACAAAAAAAAAACCACAAATCACGAATCTATTTCAGGCTAGTTTCATCAGCTTCTTCCCTAGTTTCAAGCTTCTTCCCCACTTTCAGCTTCTCTCCGGGTACGATTTCCTAACCTTGATTTTCGATTTTGATTTCTCAGCTTCTGGCAGTGAAGGTCGATTCCTATAGCTTAAAGTGAAGGTCGAACACAGAAGTCGAACCCATTGCTGGAACCCTTATTAGGGTCAAACACATAAATCGAACAAATTGTTCGATTTCAATTTATTGTATTAAAACAAAACTAATTGACAGCGAAGGTCGATTTTGATAGCTTCAAGTGAGGGTCAAACAAAGAAGTCGAACCCATTGCTGGAGCCCTAATTAGGGTCGAACATATGAATCAAACCAATTGTTCGATTTTGATTTCTTGTACTATTAGGTCGATTTCGATTTCTGGCAATGAAGTTCGATTTTGATTTATGGCAGTGAAGGTCATGAACTGTGTTTGCAAGGAAGGAGGAATTGGTTTAGGGTTAAAACGGTAAATTGGTATCCAAAACCGATAAATTGAATATGATAAGTTAGAAAATATTAAATTATCAAAAAAAATTGTTACCGGATTGACATCGATATAATTTTTTTTTTCATGATCCAAACGCTAAAATCTATTTATTATCGGTGTGACGGTTAGAATTCGTTTCCCAATCCCCATCTCTCTCCTCCCCTCCACACGAGATCCAGCAAACTAAAAATTGGGCCTCGCATCTGATACTGCATTTATCTTCAACCTTCAATCGTGCAAACGAAACCCTTCATGTCATTTTGCGTAAGTTAATCTGACTGCACTGTAATCTCGTTTTATATCAACCATTTTTTCCGATTTTCTTTTGTGCTTAGTTCCCAATTCGTACTTTTTACTATCGTTTTATTATCTCATCGAAAGTTTCCAATCAGTATTTGTGTCAATATACTCTGTTCTTGATTTTACCCCAAACCCTACTTCTGCCTGAGATTTAATTGGTCAATTTCGTATAGTTTGGTTAGTTAGGCCAAATAATTTTGAAAATCCTTTGATTTAAGCGGAGTATTAGCCTAGAACTTCTTCTAGATATTACTTTTACCCATAGGGGTAGAGAGGTTGCTTCCATGAATACCCCCAACTTGCAATACAAATAAACAAAAGAATAAATGAGCAAGCTACAGGTGAGAGCTTGTGCAAACAAGCAAACAGGAAATGCATAGTGTGTGAGACAAATTAGATATAGAGTGGTCCGCTATAACTTAAAAGCCATTGTAATTCTTACACTATGGTTGGCAGTCTCGAACCCTCGTCTGCTTGTGCAAGTGTATACACCACCCCAGAACTGACTTGTATCTCTTTTGGCAATCTTCAGCCTTTGTAAGTGTTTTTTGTCTTCAACTAAAATTAATAGGTAGGGAGGGAGGGAGGGAGGGAGGGAGGGAGAGCAAACGAGAGCTTCTCTGTTTTGCGAAAATAAGAGAACAATTTTGGGCCTCTGAACATTTTAATNGGGGGTGGAGGGTTAATTAAAGAGTTTGCTATGATGGTTGATGAAATGATCCCTGTTGGTTCAGTTGTTCATCTAAGGGTCCATTTGTTAGCAATTCAATGAGCTTAATGGGACTCACAACTTATTCGGTTAGCTATACATGAATGATATAGAAAGGGACTTATTCAATAAGCTTTTAGAAGAGAGATTTATGCAAAAAGCCCTCTCCCAGTTACAAAAAACATGCTTCTTTCATCTATAGAATACCCTTCCAAATAAAAACATTCCCAATCCATACAAACATATTAATCCAGATAGATAGCTTTATTCATACAGGACTTGGTGAAAAACCAACCAAATAACCCCGAAGTTGTTTCCATCACTGATTAGCTACTCCTTGTCTACTTCCTTTCATCTGTTGTTCTAGCCTGCGTTGTTTTGAGTTTGACTTTTATGAGTCAAATATCTTGATCTTTCTAACATCAAAAAATCTATTTATGTTTGTTTTTGGTTATGGAAAAAAGATTGGTAGATGTTAAGTGAATGTTAATTATAGAAATATATTTGGTTGAAAACTGAAAAATCAATGTGAATTTTGAATCTTGAATTTGGAAAGTATTACTTTTGAACTTTGGAAATTAAAGATGGAAAATTTTAAATGATTATTTTGGACCTGCTAGGATGTTTCAACTTCACAAGGAGTATATAAGCATTAAACCAAACCAAACCAAATGAGCCTTGTATATCCCACCTGGAGGTGGGGGAGAGTGAGATTATACAAACATGAGCTCTACTCTCAAAGAGTAGAACAGTTGTTTCTGTGACCCTCCCCTGAGACGTGCAAAAGTAGAAAGGTTTTCCAAATAAATAGAGGAAATAGCAAAAGGTGAGAGATCAAAGAAGTAGAACACGAGACAGGAAAACAAGGCAAGACAAAAAGCAAGTTAGAAGTAAACAACATATAAACAGATAGGACTCTTGTGTCCTAACTGCCGGCTCACTAACCCTACCATGACCCTCTACTTATCCAACTCCCGTCTATGCTAGCTACAGTCCCCCCCTAAGTCTACTGCCCTAAGCGTCTCCAAATACTCCTATCATGGTGGACATATAACTACCAACTCCCCTCTCCCTGTCATTAGCTATCTTAAGCCTTTCTTTCATCCTGCCATTCACATCTTCCCCCCACCCACCACTCTTCATCTGCATGGATTTACTGTGTTTGTTTGGTTTGGTTTGGTTTGTTTTTAGGGTCGGAATTCATAGTAAATGTAATATTATTGGTTTAAAAATGCGCGCATAATGCGCTCCGATGCGTGATGCACCGGAGGTAATGCATCAAAGGGGCTGATGTGAAGCGATTCCATAATGCAGTCGCATCACCTATGCATCACACGATGCGTGCATCAGTGCATCTTGTATGTTTCATGTTTGGGCTCCTTTTTCATTATTTAGAGGTTTTTAGTTGGGTTTTTTAGTTGGACTTTTTGTAGACATGGCCTATGTGAAATTCAATCGTGCCTTGCAACGTCGATATAAAAAAGAGGGAAGTAGTGATCCTATCATTCTAGAAGACATAGATGAAAGTAATGAGTGGTTGATGGGGAGGATGGACAATGACGATGAAGATGATGGTTTGGTGTTTATTGATGATGATCTTATGTGAGATGACGTAGGTAGAGCTTCCGAGGCGCATGAGACTCCTCATTTCACTAGAGCATCAAGAGGGAGAGTAAATGATGATGGGTTAGGTCCATCAAGAACTAGAAGTGCTAGAGGAAAAGGACATGCTCTTCAGGATGAAGATGATGAAGTTGAGGTGGAAGCAGATATTGGAGGGTTTGATAATGATGAGGGAGATGAACCCGTGTTGGGGTTTGATGATGCTGATCTTGAGTATTAGTTGGTCACTTGGTCATTTAGTTTAGGGATTGGAGACTGTTAGACATTTACTTGTGTTCTTCATGGTAGTAGTTTGTGTGTTTTGTTATTCCGGTTCACGAACTTTTTAAGATTCTAATGCCACTTTTTGAACTACTTTATGTTATAAATGAAGTATTTTGATAGGTAAGTATTTTTTAAGGTAAAAATTGATATGCAGAATTAATTTATAAGTATTTTTTGAATATCGGGCGCATCACGTGCGTGATGTGAGCGCATTGCGCATCACGCATCGGCTTCCGGGACCCTTACCGCCTCGGACCGCATCGCGCTTTTTAAAATAATATAGCAATAGGGGCCATAGTACTCACCTGCATCCATTTAAGCTGCTGAACATCAGCGCAAAATATTTCCTGACAGCAGCTTCAATATTAGCATTATGCATGCGTAAGTCCATAACTGAGTGGTATTTTAAGTTCCAAGTCATGTGCAAATGTACACGCTTATACTACATTACCGGATCTTAAATCACTTGGAGATAATACCCAATTTGGTCTTTGTTTGACACTTGGTTTATTATCATAATGTATCAAAACTAATATGGGAAAATATGGATAAAAGCATACCCAAGAAAAGAATAAGGTTCTATTAAGCCTATGCATCTCAATCAATATTTACATGTCATCAGGTGAAGTATTTCTGAATAATAGTAGTTGTATATATAGTTTTAAGTCAACTAATTTGCTTGATGGGATGATATAGGCTGCTGAGATTTCTTTCAATTAACTAATCCATTTTCTTGGTCACTAAGACTCTAGTTTTTGTAACTAGGCTTTGTAAATCGTCAATTAGATCCACTTAAAAACTTTAAAAAGATTGCTTTTAAACCCCCCCCCCCCCCAAAAAAAAAAAACTTTGTAAAAGCCGGTTTAAGACTCTAGTGTTTGGCACGCTTGTAGGCCACCAGATTCTGGCTAAGAAAAAAGGTACTACGGTTATCACATAGAAGAAGCGGTCGATTCCGTGGTAAGGCCTGTAAGTCACGCAACAAATAAGTTTAGATGTTTCATTTGTTAATGTGCATGATATTCAAATTCACAACTAGAACGAGAAATGGTGGGCTTTTTCTTAGCACTCCAGGACCATTTCTCCTGTATATATGTGGGAACCTCTCCTTTCTTCTCTACGGCTCTTCTGGAGAGTGATTTGGAGGTTCCACATATTCTCACATGGCATCAAAGCCAAGGTCTACCAATCTAGGGACCCGACACTCTGGCTAGCCCCCTCTCGACACTCTGGGGACAATATGTTCACTTAGCCTCCATTGGAACGGTCATGTTGGAGTCCCACATCGGCTAGACTTGTACCATTTACCTTGTTATATGTTGGAACCTCCCACCTTTCTTCTCAAGGGCTCTTTTGGAGAGGAATCTCGAGGTTCCACATATTCTCATAGTTTGTCAATTCCCTTGAAAAATAAGAAACACAATATTTGAAGTTATGACGTCTAACAAGGACCTAGCAGAAAGGAAATACACAAAAGTAAAAACCCATCAAGGAAACATTGATGAAACAACAGTCTCACTTTGTTGCATTCAAGATATTAGCATTGGTCATGCCCTCATTTGAGTTCGTCTAGCGTCTCCAAATGCTGCTGCACAGTTGATACAATCTCACATAGTGTAAGGTCTGCACACATCCCCCCTCCCGAACCTAGCTCTGCATGGACTTACTGTGTCTATTTGGGCTTTAGGGTCGGAATTCATAGCAAATGTAATATAGCAATAAATGGCATAGTACTCGTCTGCGTCCATTTAAGCTGCTGAATGGTCTTTGTTTGACACTCGGTTTATTTTTCGTAAACTTACGAAAATTCCCACCTTGTTGGAGCTCTAGTGGTTTATCAGAATGTATCAAAATAATATGGGGAAATATAGATAAAAGCATATCGAAGAAAAGAAGGTTCTATTAAACCTATGCATCTCAATCAATATTTACATGTCATCACGTGAAGTGTTTCTGAATAATAGCAGTTGCATATATAGTTTTACGTCAAAATATTTTGTTTGATGGGATGATATAGCCTGCTGAGATTTCTTCAAATAAATAATCCATTTTCTTGGCTTTGTAAATCTTCAATTGGATCCCCTTGAAAACTTAAAAAAATTGTCCCCCCCCTCCCCGCGGGAAACTAAGTATGTGGATTTGATGTGTTTGCCAAAATATAGGGTGGGTTGTTCTACAAGGGTTATGATGGTAATTTTCTATCATTCAACGCTTACTTCAGACAGAACCGCTTACTAATGATAACGTTTACTCAAAATTATTGGTAAACAACCCTTCTTCGATCGATTTATTTGTTGCTTTCATCTATGCAGTGAATCAAAATGCTTGAAATCATGCCATTGAACGCTATTTCTTTGGAGCCAACAAAGCTACCTTTGTTTCCATACGGTACTAAAATTCGTGGTTCCAAGAACAAATCTAATAGATTTCCCAAGTTCAGTGCGGTGCTCGTTGATGTGCAATCTACGAACAATACACTATCGAAAAGGTAAGTCTATTAAATCATAAGTATAGTTATGATTTAAAATTGATGCTATATCATTGTTGTTCGACTCCCTCATTCCCAAAATAAATGTCTAAAGTGAAAAAGACGCCCAAGAAATGTGTAATTATTGCACTATTTAATGAATGAAATGACAATTTTACCCTTAACAACACAGGGAGTAATGAATTTCTCCCGACTCATAATTAAGGGTAGAATTGGAAAGTAGACTGTCACTTTTGAAAGTGGAGATTTAGGGGCAATTTACTAAACACTTGCCTTGGTAAGCGCTTACCCATCCAATTACCTTACCAAGTGAACATAATAAGGACCGATAATCTTATCCAATAAGAGGGAAGACAAGGATCAAGAGTCTTACCAGGTAAGTGAAGGTGATGACCCTTACCTTTATCTTACCGGGTTATAAACGCTTACAGTTAATCCATTTTGATGGCCGAGAATGTCACCCCATAAGGTAAGTGAGAGTGGTTACCCTTGTTGGTAAGCACTTACCCAGTAAGCGTTTGGTAAACGGCCTTTATTTCGGGACTAACTAAAATAGAAATGTTGACACTGATGGAGTATTACTTTTCTAATCAAAAGAAGGGCAAGACTCCCGTCTAGTTGAGAAAAGACGATTGGTGAACAAGAGTCGAGAAAAATGGATTAATATCCGCTCAACTTTTGAAAAGTTTAATCCAACCATTAGTTCCACTTAAGTTGTCCTAAACAGGGATTTCTTTAGGACAACGATGTATACGAAATATGGTTGATGTTAATGTTGTTCATGTTACGTAGGTTTGAGATGCCCAACCCTAAACCAGATGCCCCAGGGTCGATAAACGAGTCGAAAAAAGGTCTTCATCTACATAAGGTACTTCAACCCGTCTCTCTACTCTAGAAATTTATCAACTAAATGTATTCTGAAAATTTCTCGTTCTATACCTGTTTCTTGCACAAGCCAGGGGTCTTCATGGAAACAAACACTCTAGTCTTTGGGTTAGAGATGCACAAGGCTTGGGCTTTTTCAGGCCTCTATTTTTAGTAAGCAAAGAAAAAACCCGAGTTTTTTTCAATCCGAGCTTTGGAGTTGAAAGAGGGCCTAATTGGGCTTTTGAGGCCGTGCTTTAGGCTCCGGCTTTTTTGTGCATCTCTACTTTGGGTAAGAGGTTTCATGTCTAGATATGTCTCACCCGACCCTACTTTCGAGTGGGTTTTACTGCGTCAGTTTGGTTTATGTATTTTGAAATTTTCTAATTTGGTACTTAAACTTTATCAGTTGTGCTCATTGCTTGTTTGCACACACTCACATGTAGCATGCTGCTTGTTTCTTTTAATTTTTGTTTTGCAAATAAGAGAGACAGTCTAGGCAAGGTTTGCATACAACCTACCCCCATATCCTACCTCCGCGTGGGATTTACCGGGTTCGTTTGTTTTTTTGAGTTTCTATCAAACCAAACGAGCACAGTATGTCCCCCGAAGGTGGGGTCCAGAGGATTAGATATACGCATGCCTGACCTCTATTTCAAAGAGTAAAACGACTGTTTCTTTGCTCTACTACCAATATCTAGCTGAATGAGCAAGTTTTATTGTTAATGATCCTAAATGAGCCCTTGATCTTTTAGGCTCTCTGGTGAATCTTGTTTTTTTTACTAACTCATTCCAGCTCCATCAAGGCCTGGCATTGTGCTCAGCTATGGCGGAGCTGAAGCAATATCATTCCCAAATCATCAAACTCGGCCTTCAAGCTGATAACGATGCCATGGGTAGGATCATCAAGTTCTGCGCGATCTCAAGAAACGGCGATTTGCGTTACGCCCTCAAAATAATTAACAACTTGCTGCAGCCGGACGCCTTCATTTACAACACCGTTTTTAGGGGTTTCTTGCTGTTTCATCTTTCTAAAGACTGCATACAACTATACTCGCAAATGCTGCAGAATTCCGTCACTCCCAATAAGTTTACGTTCCCTCCGGTCGTAAGAGCATGTTCTTTCGGTAATTCTATCGACGAAGGGAAGCAAGTTCATGCCCAGATTCTGAAATTTGGATACCATTCCGATGGTTTTTCTCAGAACAACTTGATTCATATGTATGTGAGCTTCAAGGGTTTGGATGAAGCAAGAAAGGTGTTCGACAAAATGCCTCAGAGAGATGTTGTTTCTTGGACGACGTTAATCAGCGGTTATTCTCAATCGGGGTGCATTGATGAGGCTCGGGAAGTGTTCGAAATGATGCCCGAAAAAAACCCGGCTTCGTGGAACGCCATGATTGCAGCATATGTTCAAAATGACCGTTTCCGTGAAGCGTTTTCGCTGTTTGACGAAATGCGGTTGAATCGAGTCGAATTGGACAAATTTGTGGCAGCCAGTATGTTATCAGCTTGTACAGGGCTAGGAGCAATGAAACAAGGGGAATGGATACATGATTATATTAAGCGAAATGAGATAGAAATCGATTCAAAACTATCGACAACGATCATCGATATGTACTGCAAATGCGGGTCCCTCGAAAAGGCAATTGAAACGTTCAACGAGTTACCATCCAAAGGAGTTTCCTCCTGGAATTGCATGATCGGGGGATTTGCGACACACGGGAAAGGCGAGGCTGCGCTCGAGCTTTTCAAGAAAATGGAGAGCGAATCGGTGCAACCGGACTACATCACGTTCGTGAACGTACTAAGTGCGTGTGCTCATTCCGGGTTAGTCGAAAAAGGACGCTACTATTTCCGGTACATGGTCGAAGCTCACGGGATTTCTCCGGGAACCGAGCATTACGGATGCATGGTGGATTTACTCGGGCGGGCGGGAATGTTCGACGAAGCAGTAAAGCTGATAAGTCAGATGCCAATGGAACCTGACGTCGGTGTGATGGGTGCGCTTCTCGGAGCATGTAAAATCCACAAAAACATCGACCTCGGAGAGCGAATTGGAAAAGAAGTCATCGAACTCGAACCGAATAACAGTGGTCGATACATATTATTAGCAAACATATACGCCACCGCTTCAAAATGGGATGACGTTGCTAACATTCGAAAGTTGATGAACGACCGTGGAGTCAAGAAAACACCGGGGTTTTCGGTAATCGAAGTGGGGTCCACCGTCAACGAGTTTATTGCCGGGGGACGGGCTCATCCCGAATCGAAAGAGATATACGCAAAAGTGGATGAAATGTTGGCCGGGATTCGATCGATCGGGTACGTTCCCGAAACCGAGAGCGTGTTGCACGAGATCGATGAAGAGGATAACGAAAACCCGTTGTTTTACCACAGCGAGAAGCTGGCAATCGGGTTCGGTTTGTTGAAGTCGAAACCGGGGGATATTTTACGGATTACGAAGAATTTACGAGTATGTAAAGATTGTCACGAGGCAAGTAAATTGATTTCGAGGTTTTTTGATCGAGAAATAATCGTTAGAGATAGAAGTCGATTTCATCATTTTAAACAAGGGGTGTGTTCTTGTAACGATTATTGGTGATTTTGATCTTACAATTTTCTGTAAATTTCAGTAATTAAAAAAAAATGAGTGAATTATAGTTTGACAAATATGCCCCTGAGGCTGAGGTGGATCATCGATGAATATATTATACATTGCATAATTAGATTATATTGCTACATTCATTGATGAATATGCAGTATATTAGTTTGTATCGTTCACTTGATATGTATATTCATTAATGAATATATACTATATAAACTCCATTAATATGTATTGTGTTTTAATATGTAAATACATTGCTGGAAATCTTATAGATGTATGCTATTCCATAAATCCATGAAATTGTATTTTTTTGGTTACCAAAACAAATGCATTTTTACTAAAAAAAACCTTTGACCTAACGGTAAGTGAGTCTTTGCTCTTCTAAGAGATCAAGGGTTCAAACCTCACTAAAGGTGAATAGAGAGTGTGAGTTTATTCTATTTGCCGTATATAAATATTATATGTTTTTTTTTTTTGTCAACGTGTGCTTTATCAGCAAACCATAAGGTAAATTCAATGGTAATAGTTGTTTTTTTTTTGAAAGGAAACCAGACAAATTTTATAAACCAATAAAAAGAGTACAAAGATTAGGTAATAATTGTTGTTGGAGTGTATTTTGATACTAAGGGGCCGTTTACCAAGTACTTATCCGGGTAAGGATTACCAAGTAACATTACCTCACCTGATAAATATGGTAAGAACCAAGAATCTTACCCAGTAAGAACGAGACAAGAACCAAGAGTCTTACCCGGTAAGTGAGGGCGACGACTCTTACCACGATAAACGCTTACCGGGTATTGTTGCATACGATGTCGTTTTGGTGGACTAAAATCTTACCCGGTAAGTAAATAATAGTGTTAAAATTTACCGGTAAGCACTTACCAGATACGTGCTTGGTAAACGACCCTTAAATTTCAAAAAACATAATTATAACACATGTGCCACATTTTTGTAAGAGATACCTTACTAGTTTTGTAACAGGCAAGGGATACTGATTAACAGGCTTAGATTGGTCCTGGGATTTTTGGTCGGAACCGGGTCCCGCGGACCCAATTTTGGTTTTGGAGAGACCAATTTAGGTCCGACCCAGCCTAGGACCAATCTTTGGCAATCTGCTAGATCAAAAGGCCTTGCATGCTTACAAGTTACAAATACATAAACAAATAATGGTGGATGTTTTAGATAGTCTAGGAGAGGTCACAAATGATGAAATATTCTACCAAAAAGATGTACGACACCACTCCCTAAAACGCTCTCACCGTAGTGATTTCACAACCATCGTATAAGAGGTAAATCACATGCCCCAGAGACATCGATGATGTCTCGAGTCAAATCTTAGACCTTCCACTTATTCTACAGAACGATCGAAATATTTTAAGAACCAAAAGCAAAAACAAAAGTAATTAATTAAGGGGAAGTTGGTCTCAAAATCATTTTTGGAGCAAGAGAGTTCATAAACTTTGATTATTAAGGCTTTAGATAACATCATCTGAAGCAACATCAACAGCAGCAACAGAAGCAGCATTTTGTTCTTCTAGAATCTTCATTTGGCGTTCCGCATGTTCTCTTTCGCAGGCACTGACTCCCATAATTATATCAACCATTGTACCCGTAGTCCCGAAAAACACAAGTGGTGCAAGTGATTTCCGCTTTATTCCTACGGGTATCGCAATCAAAGCACCTGCCACAGAAAACACCCACGTCCCCAATGCGCTACAAATACGCACATACGATAAGATTATGGATAAACACGCTATTTGTTGAGATGGAAACACAAGTAACGAAGTGGTGGCACATGCACCCAATAATATATTTTCTGTCCTAGTGTGAAAAAAAAAATACAACCTTAATTGTGATACCACTGGGCATCGTTGCCCGAAAATTGTGAGGCCGGCTGCAACAGCATATCGAAAATCTTATTCTATTTTATATTACGGTAATTATTTTGTGCTACCACTCTAGAAAATAAGCATTTGTGTTGAATAGAATGCCAAACAACACTTCATATATCCATGTCTTCTTGAGCAATTATGCAATAATCTATATGAGATTGTAGGAAACTTAAAGGTCCCAAGTGTTAAAGATCAAACTTGGATGTAAAATCAAACCAAACTGATTTGAAACTATGGAAGTAAGGACAGAACTGTCATTTACCCCAAAGAGTGATAGCGGGCATTTTCTTTGTCCCACCAAATAAAGACGGACCTAATCTTTTTTTTCATGTGGTGGCACCATTTAACTATAAGACAAATATAAGGATATTTTTCACAAAATCATCATTGGTTAGTTGATTGTTTTTCATATGTGAGGTCTTGTGTTCAAGCCTTCTATTGCAATTTTTTAGAAACATAATGCATATGAAATTAAAAGCTAAAAACTAAGAAAATGACACTAATGGGATTTGAACTCGGGTCTGGGTGTCAGAAAAGCCTTGCAAACCAATTCTACCAAGGGAAATTTGTGTACTCATTGTAGTTTTAGAATACATACAGTAGCACACAACAAATTGATACGATAGCACTTTTCACGACCCAACAATATTTTACACTACACCGGAGGAACGAAGCAGTGACCTGTGCCACCACAAGAACCACCTAGGTCCGTCCCTACCAAAAAAATAGGTGGAACAAATATCAAGGATGGGATAATATTGGTCAATTACTAAACCACCCATGTCAAATTAAAACCCTAGAACCTTGCACATTCTTTCACCCGCCTATCTCGCTCTCACCCTTACAGTCCAGTCTCGTCTCGGCTATGTACCAAACACACCTAAGAACATGGAGATATAATCGAGACACCAAAAAAACCAAGACATATTGTTGGAAGATGAAAAAGTAGCTACCGCCTACCAGGTGACCTTAGTAGAAGAAATTGGTGGTGACTTTAATGCAAGGCCCAACCCATGCCCAAAGAGAACATAACTAATCACTCTTAGCAATAGGTATTAGCAGATATTGCAAGAAGTTATCAGACAAGCAACAACCTAACCACATTCAAGCTTATTGAGGTTTTAATTTTTACCAACTATAAATTCAAACCAAAATCACTAGAAGTTGCCCCCCCCCCCCACCCTGCCGGAGGGGGGAGGGGCGGTTGCCTTACCCTCTATGACCCAAGCGACAAAACAGATGGGAATCTATGGCTGATTGTGAGGGATGGGTTTGAATCTAGAGTTGTGGAATTGAAATCATGAACATACTAGACCTAGTACTGCATTAATATCAATAAGAAAGTGAAGGAAGTAGGATACATGTGCCAACAGGAAGAAAATAGAAAATGCTGAAAGATGATTCCTAACATAAAATACATAATCTGATATCTCTAACCCATGATACTCAAGTTAGAGGACCATATCCATTCAAGATGTGAATTCAGTGTGGGTGTGGTGGGATAAAGAGCAAGTGTGCACTCATTTATAAAAATAAAAGAAAAAATCACTTGGATACGAGTCAGGTGAGGCTCAGCTACGACATGAGTGTGGCAAGGGCCAAGGGGTATGAAATACTTGTTCAGTTGTTCTTATGGAGGGCACGACTCCATTTTTGTCATTTTCAATTCTTTTTTCAAGGCTTCCACATTTTTGTCATTTTCAATTCTTTTTTCAAGGCTTCCAATACTTCCGCATCCAAAAAAAGAATATAGAACTTAAAAACTAGGGCATCTTGTTGTCTCTTGCTTTAGTTACATCAGTAGTTCTGGCCTTCAATATTTGTGTCTGTAGGATATGGCATTCCAACACAGTTTGACCAACAAGTAGTTTGATGGGTTGATTTGGTATGGGTTTAAAATACTATTATGATGCTTATTTTCGAAGTTATTTTTTTTATTTATATAATATCCATATCTATATATACATATGGCTGCCACACCCAAATATTAGTATTTTTATAATGTTAAACCTATGCACTCAATGCACAAATACATTCCTACGCCTTCAAAAAATTTATAATTTCTTTCATCGCCAAAGGAAAAGTTAAAAAGAACTTACTTGGAAACAGAGCAGTCCTCAAGATGCTTCACATTCTCTTGACTTGCCATTCCTTAGATGATCAATTTTGGGATAAGAAACTTCTTGTAGAACTCAGAGATTGGTGATTCCTTCCAAACCTGCTTGACCATATTGTTATATTGGTTTCCTATAAATAAATCATGTATGTATATGATAAATTGTATAAGTAAAAGTGCAGTGTAGGATGAAGCAACAATATCTCAAAACTTTATTCATGGTAATTGCTTGATATCTTATATGTTTTAGGGTTTATAGCAATACAACAAAATGGGATCCTAGTCATCCTACAGTCTTTCTTATCTAGCCATTCTTGAAATCTTCCAAACAGAAACATGTTTTGTTTTTCGTATTTAGCCATGTAAAATGGCAATATCACATACTCCTCAAATTTTAACATTAAAAAGTTAGAAGCAGGATCAAGGAGTCATTTGTTCTTCACATGTACCTCAATTTCTCATTCTCTAACAAATACCCAATCAAATAAAAGTGGTTGTTCTGCCTACTGCCTAGTTAGGTTATCCTCTTTGGAAATGTCTTTACTAGTCCCTCTTCATTTAATTGAAAAAAGGGTAGGAATTTATTTGGAGGGAAAAGGGACCTGATAATAACTAGCAAACAAAACATATCATGGATCATAATAAATATGTGATATAGCATTATTTCATCAACTACAAAGTGCATAGCCAACCAAAATGTTCACAATCTCTGCAACTTAGTGACCAATACTAAAAGTTTACTGGGTAAGCGCTCACTTACCTTACCAACTGTGCATGACAAGAACCAAGAATCTTGCCGTTTACCAAGCACTTACCAGGTACGCGCTTACTGGTAAAATTCAACACTATCACTTACTTACCGGGTAAAATTTTAGTCCACCAAAACGGCATCGCATGCAACAATTTACCTGATAAGCACTGACAGTGGCAAGAGTCGTTGCCCTCACTTATAGGGTAAGACTCTCATCCTTGCCTTTGCTCTTACCGGATAAGATTCTTGGTCCCTGCCATATATATCCAGTAAGGTAATGTGACTTGGTAAGAGCTTACCCGGGTAAGCGTTTGGTAAACGGCCCCTTACCCGATAAGAGGCATAACAAGAACCACGAGTCTTACCCGGTATTGGTAAGCGAGGAAAAAGACTCTTACCAGGTTTAAGACACTCAACAACAATCCATTTTGATGACCAATAATGTTAAATGATAAGGCGAGGGTAATCTCTCTTGCCGATTAGCGCTTACCCAGTAAGTGTTTGATAAACCACCCCTTAATCATTACTAACCACCAGGTACTATTACTCCTGCAATGCTTTGCACATACACATCTCCTCATGTAAATACAAAGAAATTAACAAGAATATATCACGCCAAACATAGCCTTTATCATTTTAAGTAAATTCGATGGTAGGAACCTCTTCTGTAACTTCCCAAAACTAATTCTTACGGCTTAATGAGTTTAATAGGACTCGGCTTATTCGGTCAGGTATACATGAGTGTTTGGTAATGGCTTAATGATATAAAAAGTGGCTTATTCAGTAAGCTTCTAGCGGTCAGGCAGATTAATCCACACGGCTAGCTTTATTCATACAGGACTTAATAGAAAACCAACCAAACAACCCTCTAATGAAGAATTATAGTAATTTGGGCTTGTTTTGGAATTTTCTATTGAGCATGCGTATAGTCTTACAGAACATGATGACTCATTTAACTTTGGATAAATAAAAAGGGAAGTAAGAGGGTGATTGTGAGGCTGAAGAGCATTTTGAGCAATTCTTATGATCTTTCAGCTAAATACGCCACATGAAATCATTCTGATCAACAACAGTTAATAAGGGGCCGTTTGGAAGATGCTGAATAATTTGGTGCAGAATGATTTAGGGGTCATAATGATTGAGGCTCTATATGATTTAGTGCAGAATGAAAAATAAATGTTTGGTAAGTGTTTTGGAAGACACAAAATTACCATTTTAACCCTCTATATGATTTATTGCTAAATTAAATATAACTGTTTGATAGATGTTCTAAATAAATATATTACGTTATATGTATATATAACTTTGCAAATATAAACAGCCATATATCACATTGGAAAACAAGAAGCATTGATCAATTCATTTATACATAATTCATTATAGGGTGTACAAATAGCAGTTCATTCACAAATGAACAACAATACTAATGGTCATGGAAGTAAAAGGAAACCTCAGGAAAAGTCTGCCCTCTTCTACAACCGACCAAATCACTTGACCTCTCAGAGTCACTGCCCCAATGACTTGATAACTTGTAAACAGATTAGAAACACACCAAATTTGAGATAAATATCAAATGGAGAACTAGTAAAGAAATTTGGCATGAGGAAAAACCATTCTCTCAAGATTAGTATATGGGTTCAACCCACTAAGACATTCACTAAATATACAAAATAGTTGGGTGATATTATGGATCAAAATTCCATGAAAAGAACAGCTTTGAAGCCTATGGGTTTAGAGGAAAAAAAAGGTGCTGCTTGGTTTAGAGGAAAGTGCTAGATAGAATGATCTCCATATGCTGCAAATCCCATAAAAGGTATAAAAACAACCAACTCACTCGCCCTTTATGGAAGAAAAGTCTTCAAAATGTCTTGGCTTTTGCACATAGCATGATATATGGGGAACAAGTTCAAAAAGGCTACTGTTATAAAACAAAAACTACCACCATAAGTTCAAAAGGAGATGGAAATGAGGCTCTGAAGCATGAATACTACTCTTCCCCATATTTTAATTTAAAATCCTGTCTTTACATGAACATTTAGTTTTGGTGGGGGTATATCTTTACACTCACAGGATACTCCTAATGCTTTCTGCCACTACATTAATCTTATGATCTATCCATTAGTGGTGTCATTAGAAGAGGTATGGATTTGGCATTTGCAAGCATTGCAACATCGATGAGAATTCTGTTATTACAAAAAAATTAACGCCAAGTTGGAAGACCATAATTAAACTTGCTATCATTGAGACATTTCATCAAACACCTAATATGCATATATTGAATTGCCACACAAATTTTCTTCCTTCATTTCTACATGAACATCGACCAAAATTGCACCAAAAAAGTATCGTAGAAGGAAACAAGATCCCATGATCTACTATAAATCCACCTCAATTTGATATAACAAATTTCTTGTTATCAGTATCTAAGCAAGATGTTCCTCTTTGTTTTGAACCAAAGAATGAAACAAACAAAAAAATTGAAGATACCAGACAGGATGCAGCGACGAAATGGAGCAATTCATAAGAGGAAATGGAGAAACGTCAATGGAGCAGTAGCCAATAGGAGTGAGACTGAGAAGAGGAGAGGTTTCAAGGGAAATGCAGGAAATATTGGGCCTCTGAATGATATGTGGACCCCTGGGTGAAAGAATCGCTCAGAGGCTTTTGTAGCCATTCAGAGGTTGTAATTTTTTGTGCCAAACAGTATTATCCTCTGACTGAATCAGATGCAACCTCTAAATGGAATCATTAAGAGGCTAACAAACAGCCCCTAAGCATTTAGAAACCAAAATCCTCAAACAAGGTTGCTCCTCAAGCAAGATCAGCTCCATCTCAAAGTGTCGAGTCTAGTTTTTCCACTTCCAATTCCAGTGCCAATAAAGATAGGGAAATCATATTATTACATTGTCGACTAGGTCATTCTAGTTTTGTTTAGTTTTTAAAATGATTTCCAAGGTTATTTATTAATAAAACACCAGCTTCTTTTCAATGCGAAATATGTCAAATGGCAAAACATACTCAGACTACTACTTACTTTTTACCTCATCTGACACCCGGTGGTTTGTAACATCTATGGATATACACGGGTTATCTGGGTGTTTCTTATGGAAAGAATGGAACAGGGAGGCTTACAAATCTTCCACCTGAAGATAAACCTATTGGTTGCAAATGGATATTTACTATCAAGTATAAGACATATGGCAGTAGATAAAGGTACAGCGTTTGACTAGTTAAAATTACTTACTCTGACTATCAAGAGACCTTCACACCAGTTGCAAAACTCAACACAGTCATGATACTTATTTCATTAGTTGTGAATCAAGACTGGTGTCTTCAACAATTAGATATAAAAATGCATTCTTCAATGAAGATTTAGAAGAAGTATACATGAAGATTCCACTGGGATTTGAAGGTACTCAAGAAAATAATCAGGTTTGCATACTCAGAAAATCACTCTATGAACTAAAGTAATCCCCTAGAGTTCGGTTTGGCTGATTCTAGAAGTCCATCGTGAAACTCCTATCTACAATGGCAGGTTGATCATTCTTATAATATACATAGATGGCATCATTTTAACAAAAAATGATGAGGATGGACTACAAGATCTAAATAGTATCTATTAAAGGAATTTGAAGCAAAAGACCTCGAAAATCTGAAATATTTCATTGGCATAGAGGTGGCCCGGTCAAGAAAGGTGTTATTATTTCTAAAAGAAATACATACTTGATCTACTAAAAGAAACAAGAATGCTTGGGTGCAAACTTGTTGATACACCCACGGATCCTCACGAGAAGTTGGACTTAAAGTGCACCAATCTGATATGGAGACATGTCAACGCCTAGTTGGGTGTTTCCTATCTTCCCCCACTTGACCTGACATTGGGTATGCAGGCAGTGTTGTTAGCTAGTTTATGCATAGCCCAACTGAAGATCACTTGCCAACAGTGCACAAGATTTTATGGTAGTTTAAGAAGACTCCATAAAAGGGATCATTCTTTGGAAAATCAAAAAAACATAATGTTGAGATCTACTCATACGCAGACCGGGCTGGAGATGTAAATGGCAATAGGTCAACTTCAGGGTACTGCTCTTTTGTGTGGGGAAACTTATCACTTGGAGGATTAGAAAATAGTTTATGGTGTTCAGAAGTAGTGTTGAAATTGAGTACAGAGCATTGGCTCAGGAAATTTGTCAAGAAATATGGATCAACGAGTTCTTAATGAGCTTGGCCAGCACCTTACCTCACCTATCCAGATGATGTGTGACAATAAAGCAACTATTAGCATTGCTAAAAAAAATCCACTGCATCATGATAGGACCCCACATGTTGAGATCGATTCACATTTCATCAGTGAGAAGGTGACAACTGAAGTGATGAAATTGGACTGCATCTGCGCTACACAAACGACAAACATCCTCACCAAACCACTACAAGGACCTAGCTTTGAAGACCTCATATCCATGTTGGGACTATATGACATGTACTATCTAGCTTTAGGGGGAGTGTTGAATTCGGTAGAAAGTTAGAAATGATAAAAAGTGCAAGTTTCTACACATACAATGATGTAATAAAGCATAAAAAATAAGAAAAAACTATACAAGATATAAGCATATGAAGTTAAATTATGACATTTGGAACTAAGATGACGTACTTACAAGGTATAGAGATAGCTTGAGATCAGAATGTACCCACGAGGGTAAAGGAGGCTGTAAGAGAGCACTAATGGCGGGTTGACAGTGGGAAGGCAGTTACTAGAGAGAGGAGCGTGTAGCAACTTCATTTGATAAAATAAAAAATTCCATCAAAAACTAGAATTTTGTAATTAAGAACTTTAAAGAAAACCCAAAAATGAAAAGCTATGAAGGCACAAATGAAAAGTCTTCTTTTATCAAGTATAACATCACTACATACAAATATGATATAGTTGACTAGATGGTATATGATCATCAAAGAATCAATAACACCATCAACAGTTGTATAATATTCTCCTCCGTACAACCCAGTTTAGCAACCTGCCTAAACTATCTAGAGCCTTAATGACAAAATACAAGGAAACCCAACAAATATATATATATATATATATATATATATATGCATGTACGAATTAAGAAATTATAAGTGATTGCCGGTTTCAACAAACAAAAGGGGTGTAACTATTTCAATATACTTAAGAGTTTACCTGGTAGGCACTTACCGGTAAGAATCAACATTATCACTTACCTTACCGGGTAAAATTTTAGTTCATCAAAAAGATATCATATGTAACAATTTACCCGGTAAGCCCTAACGTGTAAGGATCTCACCCTATCTCACCCGGTAAGACTCTAGGTCCTTTGCACGTACAGGGTAAGATTCTCGGTCATTGTCATGTTTATCAGGTAAGGTAATATGGACTTGATAGAACACTTGAAAGGCATAGAAACGTAATTGAAATTCAATCCAAACAGAGAGATGATAATATTCATTCATATAAACATTTGATAGAACACTTGGAAGGCATAGAAACGTAGTACATCAAGCAAACCAACAAGCTAATTGATACAATGTACGTGCAAAAAATCATAAAGAAAGAACCCTAAAAAAGGAGATTAGAAGCGATAGTAGAAAAAATTCGGATACTACCTCAGGCAAGGGAAGCGAATCAGCCAAGCAGCAAAAGGGCAAATGACGATGATCTTCTGAATTGCAATTTTCATTTAAAGTAAACTACATTTCTAGTCCCTGTAGTTCGTTAAAAATTGCCAATTCGTTACTATGATTTAAAAATTACCTTTTTCTTTAATGTATTTTATAATTATTTACCATTTTCATCCTAAACTCCATCTGATTCCACTTATTTACACTTTAGTAAATGAGAACGGCTACTTCTTCYCCGTATTGTCGAGTTGTTTTATCCATGCGTCCTTGAGCATTATCAAAAGGTAGACGTGAACAAAAAATGTTCGGATAAGGGACAAGTTCTATCGTCCGAAGTATGCTACTGGACAAGGATGGGGCAGTTACGCCCGCGAAACATGAGCCGTCATTGCAGTGCTTCCCACCCAAGTGGGAACCTGTCACTTTAGGATTGTGTCCCCGCGTAACACAATCCCCCTGTTAATCTCTATCGAGATTGTCGATTGTGGCCACCCGGCCGAAGAGTTGGCTAGGCCCCTGTCTTGCATGCAACATTCACAAAATGTTCCAAGTCTTATAGATGGTGGCCCCGTTACTTCCCCCGGGGTCTCGCATTAGCGGAGCAACCCCTAACAAATCGATCTGAACAGGATTGACGCTAACGGACGATTAACCCCGTTAGAATCTCTAAAGCTACTGGATTCACCAAATGGAGCACCGCAAGGGATCAGAGGTTCCAGACACTCTCGGTACTCACTTTAAAATCACACAATCGATGTTTTCGAATATCACCTACGTCATTTCCAGTTTCGAGTTCCACGAAACAGACAACTGCTACAATCCTCCCGAAAAGAGAGGCATCTTTTTGTAGAGCTAAAAGYTGTGAGTTACAAAGGCCGCTATTCCTGGCAAGGAATAGAGTAAGGCCTTTTACCGATCTAAAGCAAACCAGTACAGCACGTAGCTACTTACACATATCATAATTTAGTGTTTGCACTGCAAAGCCCCTTCCCCCCCAAAAGCACGGGCGAGGGTCAAGCTTCAGCTTTGATCCACCACCGGGATACATAATAGAAGAAAAAAAAGCTTMTCTTGCTGGTTTCGAGCAGTGAGTTACCCGCTTACGATACCAAAAAAAAAATTTATATTTAATATTAAGAATATGTTATCTATATATTATTTTACTATAAGAGTACACGTGCAATACAACGAGACACATATCGATTTTAATATTCTATTTTATTATTTGTCTCTATCGTTGTTATAATACGATTTTATGTGTTTTTAAGAAAGCAATAATGATTTTATTTTTGAATAAAATATAAATTTGAAAATATCATAAAATTTTGAAACAAATATATCAATGTTAATATCAAATCAACTATTTAAAAGTTCTCATTTTTTATGTAATTTCTTTAATTTATTTATTTTATTATAATTTAATTTAAGTTTAATAACGAAATAATTTATTTTATGTTTAATAATATAACATTTTATAAAGATAGTAATTAAGTATTCTGTTATAACTCAATGATTATCCTAATTATATTTTAGATTTTTTATATTTAAAATGAGATTTTTATATTGTTTTTGATTGTGTTAATCTGCAGTTAGTTACATGAATTCAGACATGAAGCTTTAATAAGTTGTACTCACGCACAATCTACTTGCAATCTTGAGTTTTAAGTAATATGCATTAATAAACAATATTTTTACTCATAAAAAATGGTTCTTAAGAATTTTTGTCAAATACTTTATAATATAATATAGATAATATGTTACTTATATATTATTTTAATTGTATATTTAAGCATATTGATAAAATATGGGTAGGGGAAAGTTCCATTTGAGAGCATGATGTATTTGCATTTGGACTATTGTTTATTTACATTTGTATGTGAGTTTTTACACGTGCTTGATTTCTTCGTCATCAGTTATATTTTAAACTAGTTTTGCTAAACATAATTTGTTCATCAATTAGCTTATCAGCTAGTTTGTCAAACGTAACTTAAATCTAAGACTTGATCATGTCGGTCTTGAAAGTGATAACTTACACAATAAGTGTTTGTAGAATGGAGGGTTGAATATGAATATAATATATTTTCACTTCTAATTCCAAATTCTGTATTTTGTATAAAACAAAGAATTATAAATTTGTTGCGAAAGCTACGAAGGTAAGACATGTGATCCTAAACAATTTGAGTGTGACAAATTTGCTAAAATTAAAAGAGTGGGGAGAGGAAATTCTCTTTGATCAATCCATCCTAATACTCTTCATTTTAGTCTTTGAGTTTGATGTAAACACTTTGTTAATTTGTTTCATCTTTTTGTATGTCGAGGGAACAGTAAAGTAAGTACGACACCAACCAAATAGTGATTTTGTACTTGTTTTGGCTGACATGTTGTACATGTTCTCATACCAATAGGAGAGTAACAGAGTTAGTGAGCCAAACTTGTTGGCCATGTTTGTACTTTAAGATTCAGTTTGTCAGTAATATTATCTGTTAAACTACTAGTTGACTTTATCTTGTATTGGTCTTATTTTTCGCTAGATGACAAACCAATCTGTTTCAGTGACGATCTTGACCCCACTTCAACTAGTCTTCGATTTTGTTGAAGGCATTTTGCTTTTGGATCAATACAGATAGTTACAAGACTTTTACAAGTAAAAATCCTATATTTTTCTATATCTGAAATACAAGTTATATATATCGAAATTCCAGCTATAAAAACTTTATAAAGATACTTTATCGAATATGGAGGATAACTTGGTATAAATTTAGACATTTTAAGCTTTAACATTCTTTCGGGAAAATCAATTGGATTTTCATGATCTAATGGTAGTTTTGACAAGCATTTAATTTATACCAAGGATCCGGTGATTGATATATCTGAAACCTACAACAATTCACCCTCTGTCATCTGTGCAAATCTAGTTCTTAATTTGAAATAACCATATCTAAACAAACCAGTCATTTTAAAAAATTTCACTGCGACATCGATAAACATATATTTGGACTGAAAATTCTTACCGACCGAATTGATTATACATAAAACTTCATGCCAAATAATCAAACTTACAGTAATTACAAAACTTGAAAGCTCATCGTTTACCAAAATGTCTGAACACATTTCTCCATCATCATTTACTTTAGCTAATTGTATTAAAGTCTATTCAATTTGGCCAACTTGAATTTATATCATTGGCCGAACACAAGTCTTTTAACACATATTAGAAGGGTACTCGTACAATGCAACGAGATACATCTTGATTCTAATATTTTATTTTATTTTTTTATCTCAGTCGATGTTATAGTATGGTCTTATGTGATTTTGAAAAAACGATGATGTTTTTATTTTTGAATAAAATATAAATTTGAGAATATCATAAAATTTTGACAAAAATGTATTGATATTGGTATCAAATTAATTATTTAAAATTCATATATTTTGGGTAATTTTTTAATTAATTTTTTTATAATTTAATTTATGTTCAATAACGAAGTAATTTATATTTGGTTTAATAATATAGTTTTTTTATAAAGACAATAATTAATTATTTTGTTAAAACTTTATAATTATCTTGATTATATTTCAAAATGAGATGTTTATCCTCCATTTGATTATGTTTATCCGCAATTAGTTACACGAATTCAAACATGGAGCTGTAATAAGTTGTACTTATGCATAATTAATTGTAATCTTGAGTTTTAAGTAATATGCATCAATATACAGTACTTCATGCATAAAAAATAGTTTTTAAAAGTTTTTGTCAAATGCTTTATAATTTTGTATAGATATAGGGCTGAACTTAGAGAGTGTTTGGTTAGAGGTATTAAGCAGTAATTAATGAGAATGAAATAAAAGAAATTGTTTGGTTTTGTATAATATAACGGACTCATTCTCCCGTAAGCCCAAATTTGATTACAGGTTAAACTATAAGGAATGAAAATTCATTTCCATTTTTATTCCCTATCATTTTCATTTTAATTTTCATTCCTCTGACCGAACCAACACCCCCTTAATCTCTTATACATATTTATCACATAAAGAAGTCTAATTTGTTTTAATGTAATAGATATACAGGGGAATGATCAAATGCAAACCAAACCATTTTTACGAACCGTACAAACCGTACGTCGATTCGGTGTTTAATTTAATGTATTCTTTTCATGAAATTGTCTTATATGATTATTTTTATTGATAAAATTGTTTCATATATTTTTTATCTGTATGTAATAATGAAATTGTTTAATATATTTCTCATTTTAATGAAATTAGTTTTCTAAAATTAATAAAATGGAGATGATAATGTCCATAATTAACGCCCAACATGACTAATCAACTCTCATAATTAAAAAAAATTATGATTTATTGAATAAGTTTTGTATGGTTTGTAAAAATGGTTTGAATTGCATTTGATCTTTGCCATATATATATAGAGGAGCGATCAAATGAAAACCACTCCAATTTGTAAAAACCGTAAAAACTACTTTCATCCATCATTAATCTTATGAAATTTTTTCATGAAATTGTTAATCTTGTGAAATTGTTTCATATAATACTTTTTTTGATGAAGTTGTTTCATATGTGGTTATGAAATTGTTTCATATACTACTTAATGAAATTGTTTCATGTATTTCTCTAAAATTAAAATAATGAATATCATAATATCAATGATTAACACTCTCCACAATAAAAATGGTTAATCAACCTCTCATAATTACAAAAAAATAAACAAAATGAAAAATTATGATTGGTTGAATGAAGTTTTCACGGTTTTTACAAATTGAGTATATATATATTCTAAATAACACATAAAATATACTATACAAAATTGTAACATATTAAAACCCTGTATCAAGACAAATTATGAAACAGTGTTAATCAAAGTTGAAGCTATCGACCTTTAGTGGCTTCTCATCGTTCTTACCCGGTAAGATTATTGACCCTTTTATGTTCATCCAAAAAGAAAATTTATCCGACAGACATTTACCAAGTAAGCGTTTAGTAAACGGACTCTAAATGGTATATGGCCATAGTATCCATGTCCATAGGACTTGTTAAATAGAAAACATGGGAAACATAATATTGCATCTAAAGACTTCGAATATTTAAGCCAACAAGATAACCTAAACCACCAAAGGGTCTTTGACCTAGCAGTGTGTGAATCTTTGACCTCTTAAAAGGTCAGGGGTTCAAACCTCACCAAATGTGAGGAGGGTGTGTGAGTTTATTTGTCTATTTGTCGTATATAAATATTATATACTTAAAAAAAAGATAACCTAAACCAAGATGCTTGAAAACTACATTAATTAAAAGGGACCAAGACTCCTATAAGCTTCTCAAAATGTATCTTGTTGATTAAAAGGATAATCATAAATTTGATGACGTAAATTATGATCATGTGGGGTAATTCTTTATCATTATTGTCTCGTTGGCGTCTCAACACAAACTATAATGCTTTCTCTTACAACACCCTTGAATAGTAGATTGATTTTTCATCTTAATCTATATGTGATGTCAACCAATAATACTGCTAAAATCCGAATCACTGACAGATTACAAAATTATAGAAATCAAGTAAAAATCCAAGCACAAAATTATCTCTTGCAGTGGTCTCACTAACAATAAAGTTGCATCTGCACCATTAAAACACACGTTTTGCTTATATCGGATGATGGGTCTCTCCTTTTTGAATCGTATATATCGTCAACTGTATACATTTGTTAGTACATTTGATTGCCACTTGGTCGGACCTTGCATTTGTCGTTTTATATTGTCAATTTGGTTATGGCATCTGCTTGGATTTCTCACTGTGTTGTAGTTTTATGGATCCTGAGATACATTAAAGGTACAATGTTTCAAGGGCTATATTTCTTACTCTATTCATCGTTTGAACTTCTTACATTATCTGATGCTGAGTGGGATAGGATATCTCTGATCGTTATTCGAACCTAAGTTACTGCTTATTCCTTAGTGACTCCCTCATTTGTTAGTGCAGCAAGAAACAATCTCTCATCACACACTATAGCACCGAGGACGAGTACGATTCCATTGTTGACACCATGTTAGAGTTGATACGACTTCGGTGGCTCTTATCCGACATATGCATTTCTCAACTCTCAGCGACAACTCTATGGTGTGATAATAGAAGTCCCATTCAGACTACTCACAAATGATTTGATTCATGAACGTACCAAACATATTGAAATCTATTGTTATTTCATTCGTCAACATGTCATTGATAATCAGTGGCGGATCCAGAAAAATTAATGGGGTGAGGGCACGTTATATGGGGCTTGGGGGAGGCAAACATATGGGCATATGGGACTGGAGGGAAACCATGTAAGACGAGGGTAAAAATAGAAAATTTAAGATAGTCAACAAACGTTTTTGGTTTTTGACTGAAGGCCTTTCCAGTTTCCCCCCAGTCCTTAAGGGTAGATCCGCCCCTGTTGATGATACTACTTGTCTTTTACTTATCTCGTCTACCGATCACACAATAGATATCTTCACCAAAGCTTATCATTCAGAGCATTTTAGTTTTCTTCTTTCTAAACTCAACTGCGTCATTCGTCAACCATCCTGAATTTGAGAAGGAGAGATGTATATACTCTAAGAGACCGTTTACCAAACACTTACCCGATAAACATTTACCAGTAAAATTTAACACTACCACTTACTTACCGGGTAAGACTTTAGTCCACCAAAACGACATCGAATGCAACAATTTACAGAGTAATCGCTTACCATGGTAAGAGTCGTCGCCTTCACTTACCGGGTAAGACTCTCGGTCCTTGTCTCCTTCTTACCGGGTAAGATTATTGGTCTTTATTATATTCATCCGGTAAAGTAAGGTGACTTGCTAAGCACTTATTAATGACAATTTCTTTGATCCATTTATGTGTGGTATTTCATTATGTTTATTTGAATTTTATTTTATGAATAAATATTTGATAATTATTCTTTGATTTTGCAAATCTTGTACTCTAACACCCCTCTTTTTTTTCCCTTAATTCTTACGTTCGAACTCATTTCCCAACCCCCATCTCTCTCCTCCCCTCCACACGAGATCCAGCGGGAGATCCCGCAAACCAAGAATTGGGGTTTGCATCTTATACTGCATTTATCTTCAACCTTCAATCGTGCAAACGAAACCCTTAATTTCATTTTGCGTAAGTTGATCTGACTGCATTGTAATCTCGTTTTATATCAACCGTTTTTCCGATTTTTCTTTTGTGCTTAGTTCCCAATTCCTACTTTTTACTATTGTTTTATTATCTCATCGAAAGTTTTCGATCAGTAGTCGTGTAAATATACTCTGTTCTTGATAGTTAATCTTCAATATTGGCTTCTGGGCATACATGGTATGTATCTAAACATTTAGCTGCCAAAAACTTCATGATTTTAGTTTAGAAGAGCAGTAAACTGTGGTGATCTGTGTTCCGTTGTTCGAATTGATACCCACGCAGAAATCCAATATTTCTTTAGTCTATTATGGACCGTTTGATCGATTGCTATAATCTTCTTCTTGTGTTCTAACTGCAGATTTTGATTTTTGCAGCGGGGTTGGTAATTAAAACAGTTTATTGCACCTGTTGCCGGTATCTATGTTTGGAGGTCATGTGACTGTTCCGGTTAACAGTCCACATCTACGGAAGTCCGGAAGCAGACAGTTGTTCTCTGACCTTGGTGAGGGGAATAAGTTGATACCAAATTGATTGCCATTTAGCCTTTTTATTTGATCATTTAATTTTTGTGTATTCTGTTGTGTGGGTGATCTAGGAAGTAGTGAAGAAGCTGCATCATCTCATTTAATAGAGAGTGAGATGAAGGGTGTGGGTGGCACACCTTTGGCAGCTGCTGCAATGTTACCATCTCCTGTATTGCTATGGAGGCTTAAGGTAATTTTTATCTTTTTAGGTTGTTATTTTTGGTTATGTTTTGAGTGTGATTTGGATCGTCTATAAATCAGCATAAGTACAGAAGCATTATTTAAAGAATTTAGATGTCCGTGTTCTTGAGGTTAAAGAAATTAGATATTGTGGATCCAGTATTTGCCGTAGATTGTGATAATGGTTACATTAGCACTTCTTGCTTTGAAATTGGCACCTGATGCTTAAAACTTAAAATGGGTTCTTGAAGATTTTGATTATCTTGGGTGTGATGCTTGAAAGATCCTAGTTTTTCTTTGGTGTGAAGTCCCAGAGAAACCTAGTTCCTAAGGGTACTATAGTTGTGAATAGGGGTGAGACTTGGCTCGTAAAGAAGTTGGTTGGCTTGTGGTATGAGCCATGGATTCATGGCTTGCTGAGCTCCGAAAACTTGTGCTTGGCTCAGCTAGCCAAAAGCTTGAATTTGACTCAACTGATATAGGCTTGGTTCGTATTGGCTTGTATAAGCTTGAGCTGTGGTTGGCTTGTACTGTTTGGTTCTTATGGGCTTGTTTAGGTTTGGCATGTTTGAGCTCCGATCCTATGGGCTTGTTGGTAGTGAAACTATGTTTTTAAAGGAGCCAAGATTAGTGGTTGAAAATATAAATTTCATTATTGTTTTTCCTAATCCATTTTCTTCTCCCATTATATGTCCTGCATCATTATCCTTAGATTTAGGCATAGCTTTCGATGTTGCATGTATTTATTGATGCTGAATCAATGTGCTATTTCAGGTGATGCTGTTCTTCTTATGGGGATTCAGCTGTTGCAAGGTCAGTGTTGCCGTAATTTCTCCTTTTGAAGATATTTTGGCTACATTTTCTTTCTGCTAGATTAGTATTAGTTAACATAACATCGTACTTAACTTTTGTTATTGGAGTTGAATACCTAATACATATCCATCATATGTTAGATCGGATGGGATTCTGTCATGAGGATGAGTTTGGACCTGCGAGACCTTTTTCTTTATGAGGCGTTTCTGTATTATAATCCTTTTCTTCTCGTGGTGAGTGAAACTTCTGCATTTTATTTTGTTTCAAATGTAACATAATTCAGCCAGTAATCTCTCATTTGTTGTATATAAATGTTGACAGACAGCTGCGGTTTGGTTTTGGGGTGCGAACTTATGGGTGTTTGCTCAGGCTAATGTCAATTATTCGAAGATTTTTGACCTTGATCAGAACCATCTTACTCACAAAGAAATATGGAAGGTAGATATGAAGACGGTGCATCTGCTATTCATTCACCAGTCATCATCATCATCATCATCATCATCATCATTATTATTATTATCACCATCAACATTGTTCTACATTATGTTTATGCCATCATTACCTGATTGTTGAATTTGTTGTTTTTACCTTTGAAGTTATGTAGTCTCTTTTGGCATTTTCGGTTATGCTTTGTAGAGTCCCCCTAAGTTGTATGTGGGCTTGTCAATTTGGATGATGGGAATTTTTATGGGGATGCACTAGAATTAACAATTTCTAATTTGTGCCTATTTGTCTTATTTGATCAGCCCCTGCCTGGGTCAGGCTAAGCCAAGATTAAGTCAACTATCCTCATGTGGGGGTCAACCATCTTCATGTTGCTGGCAGTGTTGATTGACATTTCTTGTTATTTGATTCCACTTTTTCTACCCCTCTATGATTTTTTGGGTGTGTAACTGTAACCATGATATTTGCTTAGAGAATTTTTTTATGTGGATAAAACAGAACTATAAGATAAAGGGCTTTAGGGCGTATTTACAAAATTAGGAGGCCATCTTAAGTGCATGAAGTAGATCAAAGGGAAGTTAAAATGTCGAAGAAAACTTGGCCTTATATGAGTATCAGAATACAAAACGTGCAGAAGATATTGTGGTTCAACTTACAGAAAAGTGATGCTTATTCTGTGATTCTCTTTTGGTTCAAGATTTCTTTCTGTATAATTCATGTTGGTGGAGTTGGTTATATTTTTCAATTTATGTTGCAGTGCGCTACATGGATGACAATCATTGTTCCAACGAGCATGACTTCGTATCTTTATCTGTACTCTCATGGAGAAGTCTCATGGGCTGCATCTCAACCAGTGTAATAGATGCTTCCTTTCATATTTTATACACATTTTCTTTTTACTTGAACTGATAACTGTTCATGTCATTTTCTCCCCTTGACTTTTTTATTTTCATGGCTGTAACTACATCTTGATCTTGACAAACAACAATGTGAATGACAGTTAAAATTGCAAAAATATTATTGCAACACATGTACATGTGCTAATAGTTACATACTTGCATTATGTTTTTAAGGCCATGTTTGGCAACCATAAGCTAGCTTATTTTTCGAGTTTATGGAAAAAGCCCTGTTTGGTTAGGCATAAGCTAGAGCTCCAGGGTTTTCCACTTTTTCCCCTAGTTATGCCTCTTATAATTTTCTAATGAATTTTTCAACATGTCTTTTTGGGTCGTCTTACGTTGTCGTTTAGCTTATCAACTAGTTAGTACCAAACATGACTAGCTTATCATTAACAGCTAGCTTATTAGCCACAACTAGCTTTTCAAGTAACAACTAGTTTATCAGCCAACAACTAGCTATCGGCTAGCTTTCCAAACATAGCCCAAGTCTATTGATTACATGGTTAATCTCTTGCTGAATTGTGAAGGCTTTGTTGAGTTGAGTTGCTACCTACTGAACGTCATTACATGCCACACATGGATGTTGCATTGGGCTTTAAACTTTCAATTTTAGCGTAGTAGGGTTGTTGTCATAATACAACTCTTTGCCCAACAAAACTGTAGTGATTTTATACAGATTTTATGTTGACACCCAAAGTTTGACTACAGATTCTCAAAGAAGTGTTATGTTTAAGTTTTTATATGTATAGACACAGATTAATATGCTTCCTTCTAGATTTTGGATGCTACTGTACCTTCTTTTGTTAACATGAATTATCCTTCTGTAACTTTGTATATGATTAAAGATTACTACAATAGATGGCAATAATTTTTACACATGATGTGCTGCAGGTACTTTTGTATACCGCTGTTGCAATTATCCTGATATTCCCATTCGACATTTTTTATTTGTCATCGCGCTTCTTTTTGTTAAGGACACTTTGGAGAATAGTCTTCCCATTTCAGGCAAGTCTGTACCATATGTAAGATTACCATTATCACCCTCCCTAGATCCTACCTTTGGGTGGGATATACCGGGTTTGTTTGGGTTGGTTTATGCTGCAATTTATTATGATTCTGTTTATCGACATATGTGGTCGATATTATATATTTTATATATATGTATTGTACTTTATCATGAAATTCTGATACATGAAGAACAATATAAACATTTTTTGTAGAATTGGTGTGTTTCTTAAGTGTAAATGCAAAGTCTGTGAAGGTGTATGACTGTATGAGAAATGTAACTGTTTGAAAAATTTCATGAATATAACAAATAACAAATTTACTGAGTAAAGTGGTGTAAGTAACAAATTTACAGTTCTGTCTCTTTGGAAGTTTTTGCATATATGAACTGACATTTTTTTTTGCTTATTTGATAAATACAGGCAATAGCATTCGCTGACTTTTTTGTGGCTGATATATTAACCTCTATGTCAAAGGTATGTATCTCAATGTCGATGATATATTGCAATTTAGTTCAGTGTTCTACTCTAAACCCGTAAGTTTTTTTAAGAGAAGTTAACTTCTAAAATATAGGCACATCAACTTCTTTTGAAACAATCCTCTTCAAGTGTGTTTTTGGTCTAGTTGCCACTTGCCATAAAACCTTTTAACTTAAATGAGAATGAAATAAAGAATTTTGATCAAATCAGCTAAAAATGATAAACTTATGGGTATTGTGGGCTGATTGTGATACTGCTATGCCAAGATATCATTCTATGGCATGCTTATAATGTACCTCCAATTTTTCTAAGTTTGGTCACTTCATGTTTGTTCCCATCCGCAGTTACAGATAATTTTATAAGTATTTAGAACTCTTTGAATAAACTTATCATGAAAACTTTGCAGCACATAAGATAACATGTCTGCTTTAAAATTAATTTTCTCTTGTAGGTCTTTTCAGATTTGGAACGTTCCGTTTGTAGGATGGTTCACAAGCAGGTTAGTACTCCCTCTTCTTTTGATTTTAGTCATACGAACTTGAAAATCTTATAGAAAATGCTTAAAAAGTTTCGTTGTTCCTTCTTTCATTGTTTTGTTTGAGGCCATGTTTGTCACAATCTCCTATGAAGCCATGATATTCTTTGAAACAATGAAGTTAACTTCTAAAAAGCATGAAATGGAGCTGGGTTGTTGACTGAATGACTAGTGCTTAATTGGTTAACCAGGATTAGATGGATGCTGAAGCAGACACATTAAGCAATATCAAGCCAAACCAAACGAGCCCGATATATCCCACTTGGAGGTGGGGTATGGGGTGGGTAAGATCTACACACAGAGCTGACCTCTACCTTAAAGAGTAGTGTGGCTATTTTTGTGAAGACCCCGGCTTGTGAAAAGTGTGTGAAAAAAGAGAAAAATAGGTTTAAATTTTGAAAAGCTGGATATATGTAAGCAATAGCAATACATTTAAGCAATCAATTTCAGTATACACATAAAAACAGTTGATATGGAATAGCCTTGTAATTTTGTCACCACAGCAATGAAAACATATATGGAAATTCACATACCATTATATGAAAAAAACATAAATCATAACATCTAGTATAGTTTCATGTAGTACAAACAATACAGGATCGTGATAAGAATTCATCAAAAAAAGGTTAGTTTAGGCTGAAACCATAACTAAGGGGGCTGTTTGGTTGGTTTTTCATTAAGTCATATATAAAGCTGTCTGTGTGGATTAATCTGTTTGTCTATGTTGGGAAGGTTTTTGTTTGGGAGGTTTTTCCATGGATGGAAGGAGCCTGTTTTATAATTGGGAGGGGTTGTTGAAGAAAACTTGGTTTTCTGCATAAAGCTTTCCCCTAGAAGCTTACTTAATAAGCCATTTTCTGTATCACTAAGCCACTACCAAACAGTTATGTATAGCTGACCAAATAAGTTACGAGTCCCATTAAGCTCATTAAGCTGCTAACAACAGGCCCTAAGCCAGTTAAATCCTGGATGACCATATGATGGACCAACTCTAGATCACCATATTATACATAAAAAAGACAAGATCTGAGGCAGGCGGTTGAATTTTGTCTCCCAAAATGGGAATTTTTGTATAAATGACTCCATGGTGCAAATGCTCACAGAAAACTTCTTGGTTCTTGCAGGTTGCAACCATTGCCTGGTTTGAAGCCGATTCCGTTTGTGGCAGTCATGCTGTTGCTATTCCTATCATTCTTGTATTGCCTTATATATTTCGTTTCTTTCAATGTTTGCGGCAATACAAGGATACCCGGGAAAAAACTTCTCTTCTAAATGGTAAAATCTTTATTTTAAAACTTATTTGTGGTTTAGTTTTTTACATATCTATATTTATCGGTCTAGATTTTATAGGCTTACCATGTTAATTGATCATATAAACAGATGGGTTAGGTTCACGGGAAACCGCAAAAAAAATGAAAAGCCGAGTAACACCCTGGTAACTGTTCATCTGGACGGTATGCACATGTGTAATTTGTAAGCAGTTTGTCTGGTATGCACATGTGCATAACATGCACACGTGCATAAAACCAAAAAAGAACTTCAATTACTTGTATGCACAGTGCATACCGTCCAGAAGAATGATTATCAAGGTGTTTCCCAGTTTTTCATTTTTTTGGGGGTTTTCCCCTGAACCTCCCTCATAAACAGATAATAGGATCAAACTTCCTGATATAATTGTACCCAATTGTGTGGATATTGAGCACAAGATGTTTGGCATAATGATCAATAATTTGGCTAATTAGTTCAATGAATTTATGTAATGGTATGGTTTTGTTGTAGGCAGTATTTTGAAGGGCATCTTATTTAACTATTTTTGCGGTACTAAAATGATCTCATTTCTCTGTGATTTCAGCATTGAAATATTCAACTGCTGTACCGGTGATTTTTCTTTCTGCCTTGAAGTATCATGTGTTCCCTGATAGTTGGATAAACTTCTACCGACCTCTGTGGCTGCTGTCAAGTGTCGTAAATTCTTTGTACTCATTTTACTGGGATGTGACCCGAGATTGGGATCTAAGGTATGTAAAAGTTTGTTTTTTTACGTAATCTACGCCATATAATCTATTAACATCTGATACTTTAAATAAACCCGAAGCAAGTAAGCTATTTAGATTCATTATTTCTATTAATAAAGTATCCATGTGTACATCTTAATGAAACTAACGCTGCTGATCCGAGACTTGACTTTATGCATGATATATATATATATATATATATATATATATATATATATATATTTGTATTCATAGATGATTACATGGGCTATTGGGATTTGTGTGGTGACCTTATATTTGTGATACACCCAGTCCCATGAAAATGGCAATGTTTGACTGGCCATATAGTTTTAGGGAAGTGTTTGACTATTTGTTAAATGCCTAAACTAACCTTCAATAATGACAAAATAAGGGAATTTTTTGGCTACCCTTTGAGGTAGATGTCAAGACTGCGTACATCCCACCCCTCCCAGACCCTACTTTTGAGCGAGATATACTGGGTTTGTTTGGTTTTGGTTTTGGTTTATCAAGTTACTTTCTAATAACCATTTTCTTCTTTTTCTACCAGCTCCTTTACTCGGATCTTCAAGTTTAGCAAACCACATCTCATCTCACAAATTATTTATGGACAAAAATGGGTAAGAAACACCTAATTCATTGTTACTTGCACTGATTTTTCTACTTGATCTGGGCTTATTACGTTATTCACCAGCCTGTAAAAAACTATGTATTAGAAAAATTGCATTTTGCACATGACATAAGTACATTTTCAGCTGAGAATGATATTAGCTTTGTTACAGATTTAAGAAAGTAATTCAGTTATTTGACCTTGAAAGTCAAACTGTATGCCATTTTTGCAAGAACAGAAGGCACATTTGTTTTAAATTTATAGCAAAAGAGTACTATTTGTTACACTACTATTTGAGGTAGAGGACAGGTTTGTGTACGTACTTTTGAGTGAGACATACGGGGTGTGTTTGGTATGATTTTGTATATGCCACTCTACTCTTTGGGGTGGATGACAATACTTGCTAGTGGGACAGACTGAGTGTGTTTGGTATGATTTTGTATGTGTGTTGCTATATGCACCTCTATTTATGTTAGAATCAGGTTAAATCAAACATATAAAATGTAAAAAATAAGTATGATGTTGATGTATGTGAGGAGCAAATTAATAGGTAGGGGTGCATTTAGCAATATATAGGGGTGTACTTAGCCTACCCCTTTTGTATTTGCTACTCTACTCTTTGGGATAAAGGTAGTACTTTTGAGTGGGACCCACCGGGTATATTAAGTGGGACATGGGTGTGTTTGGGATGGTTTTCGTATTTGCCACTCTATTCTTTGGGGCTGAGGACAGTGCTTTCGAGTGGGACATACGGGGTGTGTTTGTTACGGTTTTATTTAATTACTGTGATTTTTTCGTAGGTATATTTGTGGGTGATAGGAAGCAATCTGATATTGCGGTGTACGTGGACATACAAGTTATCTGCCCATCTTCGGCATAATCACCTGACTGTATTTGCAATAACGGCATTGGAGATCTTTCGAAGATTCCAATGGGCGTTCTTCCGTGTAGAAAACGAGTGGAACAAAATGAACTTGAAACAGAACCTTCAGATGGGCGACATCTCGGGTGAAGAAGAAAAACTCCTCAATGTCAACAATCACAATGTATAGTTTGCTCTGCATATTCGACGTTAATTCGCCTTCTTGTTTTTCTTTCGATTTGGTAAACTTAATTTCTTTTGTACCTTTATTTTTCTTCTTCTTCTTCTTCTTCTTCTTCTTCTGGGTATCCTTCCAATAGGGTTTAGGTGAGGGTAGGAGATCACTTAGGTGAAATCTAGAGCAATGCATTGGTGTTCTAATGATTTATAGCACTCATATTTACAGCTATTTTTGTAGTAATCTTGATGGGGGTGTGCTTGTTTTACCTTTGGAAACAGGTGTACTCAACTTTTGTATGCTTATTTTATCTATACTATCTTGTAAAAACATTCTGGTAAACGCTTATCGGCAAGAGTTATCACGTTTACTTATCTTATTGGGTAACATTCTCGGTTCTTTAAAGTTGATTGTTGGTAAACATCTTTTAACCGGTAAGTCCTTACCGAGTAATAGTCTTTTCATTCACTTAGTGGGTAAGATTCAGGTCCTTGCTATATATCTTACCGGGTAAGATCATCGGTTATTGTCATGTTAGTGCTTATCCGTCTATGAAATATTGAATATGAAGATGAAAGATCGTGTAAAAATAAGAGTTAAAGTCTATGAATTGCGTTTTAGAAAGAAATTGATTCGGTATATCTCATCAGTGTTGATCTAGTGGTTCTTTTTAATTAGGATTGATTCAAGGATGAAGATCCCTTCTTACCATAACTTTCATTCCCCTTAGAACCCAACTCAGATATGAATGATTGATGTTTTAACATTTAACACTTATCGTTTATTAAGGATTTTTGAAAGCATGTCCCTTAGAGTGAGCTCCATGTCATTAAGGGGTTGTTTGACAGTTGCTGAATGATTTGGTGCATAATGATTAAGTAGTCAGAATGATATAGTGCAAAATGAAATATAATTGTTTACAATGAAATTAAGACGCTTAATGGTTAAGAAGAGACCCATGATATAAAATCATTCAGAGGGTTTTAGAACCATTAAGAGCTAGACTTTTTTTTTGTTAAACAAGATTCACCTTTTAATTATTTAAAAACTATTTTTTTAATAAAACTATTAAAAAATAAACAAATAATTTTTATCCAACATAATGTCATCTAACAACATATTGATCCCAATTACTTGCTATTTAGTTTTATTACTTTATTTATTATATTAAT